TTCCGCTCTATTCTGCTATGGTCAGGCCTCACCTGGAGTAGTACTGTGTCCAGTTTTGAGTACCACATTTTAGGAAGGATATTGACAAGCTGGAGTGTGTCCAGAAGAGGGCACCCAGGATGGTGAGAGGGTTGGAATCCAAGTCTTATGAGAAAAGGTTGAAAGAGTTGGGTATGTTTAGCCTGGGAAAGAGAAGGCTTAGAGGGGACATGATTGCAGTCTTCAAATATTTGAAGGGCTCTCATGCAGAAGATGGATCAGATCTATTCTCTCTTGCTCTGGATTGCAAGACTAGATCTAATGGGTGGAGATTACAAGGGAGTTGATACCGGCTAAATATCAGGAGAAACCTCCTAAGTGTACAAGTGGTTGAGTAGTGGAACAGACTGCCTTGAAAGGTGGTGGATGCTCCTTCGCTGGACGTTTTCAAGCGGAGGCTGAACAACCATCTTTCGGGTATGTTGTAGGGCTATCTTTCGGCTATGCTCCTGCAGAGTGCAGGGGGTTGGACTAGATGACCTGCAAGATCCGTTCCAACTCTAACATTCTATGATTCTATCTTCTGGCTATGTATGTGAACAACCACATCAAATATTAATGACAAAAAAATTGGCAAGTAAAGCAAGAGGAAAATAGCCAATCAAACTGACTGGCAGTATCTTCAAGATCAACAAAAAGAAGTACTTCAAACAATGGAAGGCATTACCACCAGATGTTTTAGATCAAGTTTTAAAAGGATGATACAAATTCACAGATCAACCAACAACTATTAGATACAACAAATATAATATCCTGAAATAATATATCTCTGACTACTGAATTATCAGTTTCTTTGGGACTAATAAGCAGATCTAAGACTCTGTTTTAGAAAAACATGTAAAAGTTACCTTTCACAACAGTTTTTTCCAGGTACCTGAAATTAAAAAATAAATAAAAATAAGCGATAAATTTCTGCTATAACCCTTCCTGAAAGGAAGGGATCATTCAGAGTACTGTAACTGCTTCAATAAAACTCAGTTTCCTTCCAGAACAGTCTTGTCATAAATCAAATACACAGCTCTTATAACAAACATCTACCTAAGAAGTTTAGGAAACATTTAGTGACCCCAAGAAAGAAAATCTCATGACAATAAGCATTAATATCCCAGAACTCAATAGATCTTTCCTAATCTTACATTCATTGCTATTTTCTCCCACTAGCTCCTGTTTAACTTCTTTCAATGCTTGCAACGCCATTCAGGGATATCAGTGGGATTATGGTGCTGTTTGCAAATCTTAGTTAATACAGTTTAGCTAACAGGTAATCATCTTCCCTATTATCCCACCCCCAGATAGCTTTCCCCATATAACCAATAAAGCATTAGTATGGAAAAGTTGGTCCCACTTGTTAGTTTTTGTACACAAATCATGACAGCCCTACTACTGGAACCAGCAAATTACTTAGGATTTGGATTCCATACTGTTAAATTTTGATAACAATCAGAGTAACTGTATGCATGTTTACTTGGAAGCTGTGTAGAATGTTGACTACCATCTACTACAACACTTCTATTCTTCTCCCATGCTTAGAATAGGTAAAACAGAAATGTTTAAGTGGGCTTAAAAATGACATAATGAAATGGTTCAGGAAGGCACATTTATTAAGGAAATGAATTTAAGACTATTCCACTGTCTATTGTAGGTATTATCTTGCACTTACTACATAGTCCCCTGAACAAAGTTTGAGTCCAGTGGCACTTTTAAGATGAAGAAACTTTTATTCTGGATAAAAGTTTTCATGTGCATGGACACAAAAGCCAGAATAAAACTTTGTTGGTTTTAAAAGTGCCACTAGACTCAAACTTTGTTCTGCTGCTGCAGAACAACATGCCTACCTCCATTGTCTTTTGTTTTTGTTAATCTATTTCCTGCACTCCTCATGGTACACTAGGTCTTAGACTTTTAAAATCTGTATTACTTTCTAATTTTGAAACAATAGTTTATGGTATCCCAGAGCACTATTCGTATACTTTGTAATTTGCCTACAGTCTCTCAGTGAGAAAAGTGGGCTAAAAATAAATAGACTGCCCTCCAGCCAAAGCACAAAACTGAAACAGTGGTCCAAAGCTATACAGCAGTTCCCATAGCTTCAGACGCTGACTTAATGCTGCGACTCCCCTCCCCAGCAATAAAACCGCTCCAGTG